CTGTTGCTGCTGCTGCTGCTGCTGCTGCTGCTGTTGCTGCTGCTGCTGCTGCTGCTGCTGCTGCTGCAGCTGCTGCTGCTCTGATGCAACCCCCTTAGAGAGAGAAGCAGCACCACCACAGGCAGTATAATAAAGAATAAATAAAAACAAAAAGGAGATAAATAAACAGCAACAGAAACAGAAAGCGATCAACGAACCCTGCTGCGCGGCCCCGCTGCTGCTGCTGCTGCTGCAGCTGCTGCTGCTGCTGCTGCTGCTGCAGCTGCTGCTGCTGCTGCTGCAGCTGCACCATCAATACCAACTCTGCAGCAACTCCGCACAGCAGCAGCAGCAGCAGCAGCAACCCCATACATAACTGGTGCTGCTGCTGCTGCTGCTGCTGTCTTTATTATTTTTTATTTAATTTATTTTTATTTATATATTACACACAGAGACCAGATCTCGCTGCCGTGCACAACCCATCTGCTGCTGCTGCTGCTGCTGCAGCAGCAGCAGCAGCAGCAGCAGCAGCCCCGTCTCAACTGGGTGTCTGCCGTCCCACAGCCCCCTTTGGTATAGTAACAGCAGCAGCAGCAGCAGCAGCTGCTGCTGCTGCTGCTGCTGCTGCTGAGTATAACAACAACAGTAGCAGCAGCAGCTGCTGCTTATTATTCTTTTGTGTTGTTTGTTGCTGCTGCTGCATGCGCTCCGTTGCTTCCTGCTGCTTCTCCTTGTCTATCTCATCATCTGCTGCAGCTACAGCCAGCAGCAGCAGCAGCAGCAGCAGCAGCAGTTGCTGTAACAGCAGCAGCAGTAGCAGTTGCTGTTGTAGCAGCAGCAGCAGCAGTTGCTGTAGCAGCAGCGGCAGCAGCAGCAGCAGTAGCTGTAGCAGCAGTAGCGGCAGCGACAGGCTATAGCCGCTGCTGCAGCTGCTGCAGCAGCAACAGCAGCAACAACAGCAACAGCAGCAACAGCAGCAGCAGCAGCAGCAGCAGCAACAGCAGCAGCAGCAGCAGCAGCAAGGGGCTCCAATGGCTCCTTCTAAGGGGCCTCCCTTCCCCGCCGCATGCACCCTTTAGCGGCCCAGCAGCAGCAGCAGCAGCAACAGCAGCAGCAAAAAGCTGCAGCAGTAGCAGCAGCAACTGCAGCAGCGGCAACAGCAGCAGCAGCAGGAAGCGCTGCAGCAGCAGCAGCAGTTAGCTCAGCTAGAGCAGCACTGTCAGGGGCAGCAGCGATAGCAGCAACAGCAGCAGCAGCAGCAGCAGCAGCAGCAGCAGCAGCAACAGAAACAGCATTAACACCAGCAACTGCAGTAACAACGGCAC